GAGAGACGAAAGCAGACCCAGATGCCTACACAGTGGTCTGCTCTCTCCATCCTGGAAAAGCAACATGAAGATACTGGGTTAAAACCTGAGATAACAGAAAAATTGAACATTTTCAAAGCCATGTGCTACCCATATTATTTCCATATCAAAGGCCCCTTTACGCTAATATCACAATGCTATCTCCGGTAAACACTGCCTCTCTTCTCAGAGCATATAAGTTATAATTACGTTCTTCAGTGAGACAATTTTCTTCAAAAGAGCTTTCCTCCCTGTTAAAGAATGTGGGGAAACTCATGCATATTACACATCTGATTAGGCTACTGGAGTACATTATATAGTCTGCACTCTCCATACAGCCTGTAAGTCAGTTATTGCTGGTAATTTAATGGCCCATCCATGAGAAAATCAAGGTCTTCATCTCGTTAACTCTTTGGCTACCTAAGTAACTGTGCATTAGATTAGACTCGTCTCTCATGGTCGCAATGATCTTCCTTCAGACTTAATGAGATAGCAAAAGAAGACACTCTCGTTAAGCTCGTCAGTGGATGAAGCCTGTTAACAAGATATACGGAGCTTGACCTGGCCATAATGCCATTTATAACCTCTACCTGTCATATATCATCTCTGTACAAATTTCGAGACATAATATATATGCAGCTGGTCTCAAATTAAAATCAAACTGTCACTGCAGAATAGAAACCAGGACTGGAGATATGTCCGGTGGTTAAAAACATCACTCAGCGCCTGGGGCTGGAGGAAATGAATAAGAGGTTTAACTATATAAAGGTGAATGTGAGTATAACATTACAGGTACATGATACAGATTTCCCTGTTATTGTAATAGGGCCCATCTGAACATCTAAATTGAACAGTCCATGACAGATTGATAGGATGGTCAGTTGTTTAAGTGTGAATTGTCAAGTATGATTGACATGCAACTTCAAATAAGCAGCAGAAATGATATAATAGGTCTTTAATCATATGAATATTCAAGTGTGGCAACTCACCAAATATAGGCCTTTTATTAGACCTTTTCACCTAACCATAAATCCACATAACCTCAATATATAATATAGCTGGTTGTTATCAGCCAAACAGCCAAGCTCTAATCACTAAAGCTGTCACCAACAGCCTTTTTACCACCTCACAACGACAAAATCTTGAACACACATTCCAAGTAATCCCAAAAACATTCAATGATGTTGTGGTCTGGACCCTGGGATGGTCAGTTCATTGATCTGAGAACACCAGCAGCTCCTTTGTTTGACTTGCCAGTGTTTTTTGGCTTTACCTTTTCTCAGTGAGGCTTCTTAACAGCTGCACGTCCTTTTAGACTCATAGCGCTGAGTTGTCTTCTCACAGTGGAAGGATGGACAGAAACACCCACGAATGTTTTCAGATCTGAAGCAGCTTGACTTTCTCCTCTCGCTCAAAGATGAAAGTTTTAAGTGCTGTTCATCTGATGGGGACGGTATTGGTGGCCTAACACATTTTGCATGGTTATTAGGAGTCACATTTTTCTAAATCATTTAATAATTTTTTGCACTTTGGAAACTCTTATTTTACTCATTTTCTGTTGATTTCTGTATGCAAGTACATCATCTTATATCTAATCCCCTCAGACATAATGCCTGAAAAATGAATAACCTGATCTTATTGACTGGGTTGACTGATAATATAATGTAGTTATGTTATAACTGAAGTTTGGGGGCAGGAACATGCCTGAAACCCCTCCTTCTTCCAATCTAACACCCTATAAATTCACATCTGCGCTTATGTTACCATGACAAAGTGATTGCAATCCCTGTTGCCACCCCATCTCCTCCCTGTTCCTCAGTCTGCATCAGTCCTGCTACAGCTATGAGGGGGGTCTGGCCTTCTAGCCACAGGCAGAAGCTGCCCAGAACTCCAGCACAAGTTCTCAGAGTTCTCCCCCTCCCTCTATCAGTCTTCTCTCATGCTACCATCATGATAAAGGCTACATCTATATGTGTATACACACACACACATATATATATATATATATATATATATATATATATATATATATATATATATATATATATATACACATACATGGAGTCTTTCCGTTCACATCGCCCACCTCAGATACCACCTCATGCCATGGGGAAAATATGATGACAGGCTGTTAAGCAGCAGGTCTCCCTCTTGGATGCACAACTAGCTTTTAGAATTTGATAACTAAACTTAACTAAACTATCATTTAGTACATCGATAAGCAACTGGAATACTATTTCATCATCAGGCAGGGATGCAAACTGCTGGATAAAAATAATTTTATTAATTATAAAAATTCTATATTAATTATCATAAGAAACTCAGATGGTTCAATCAACAACTCAGTTGGTTGTAATGTAACCAGTGATGTACATCAGTAATAAACATGTCTACTCACCTCCTACAGTGATGCCACAATAGCCCTGAGAGTAAACTTCCTTCCTATTTAAATTTTGGGAAAATTTTGGAATTTTTTTTCAGTTTAAAGACTGGGAAAATCTCCTTCTGATGACATATCTTGTAAGTGGGAGGAACCTTTGAAAAACTAAGAGCAGATACATGAAGATTGTTGAAATGTTTTGGCTTTTCCTTCCTACCAGCTAGGTATTGCAGAACGAAGCCAGACAGCTAGGAAGCTCAATATCACATCTGAATATGTCAGCCTCTACATCGGTGCATTTCTATAATGGGTGTGGGGGTGGGGGGAGTGGGGGGTCGAATAAACCATCTGAGTTACTGATGATAATTACATCACAGCACAACATGTTGTGAATTTGTCATTTTTATCCAGCAGCTTGCATCCCTGCCTGATGACCTGGCCACAAGTTGATTATTCCCCATCAACCGGGGCCTGAGGGACGAGCACGAAATCCATCTGTTAATCTAGCGCTGCACCGCAGAAAAAAAGCAGCCTCTCTGATATTCGTCTTCGAACACATGGTGATTTTCTAGCATGCTGCCTCGTCGTGAAAACCTTGGAGTGAAGGCGAATCCGATGGTGTGGAAGACAATCAAGAGAAATGCCTTTTGGCAGCTTGCTCCCTATACCAGAAGCTACAATGACAATTACCCAAAACACAATATGACCAAGTCATCTGGCAGAGTGGATGACGAAGGAGAAAGAGAACAGCAAGACATTCTAGGGCCAGACCGATTAATCAGTTGACCGCTAATATCGGCCTACGCTGAGGTTGTGTGGATTTGTTAGTACTGAAAAAATATCAGGCTGATGAAGGACTGATATTTGTTGGACTGCTGCGCTAGAACTTTTATATTATTTAAGATTTTGTGTGTTGATGCTGTTTATTTGAAAGAGAAATTTGACAACCGAGAGCTGACAATCAAATCTGACAATTCCCACCTAACAACTGATCATCATATCAGAACCGAATTCTGTTGAAATGGATACTCTGGCCAAAAAGAAAAATTAACCGTTGTTACATCTGCTATAAACATGCCGCAGTAAGTGGTTTGAGGTATTTGTGTAATGCATGCTGGGAATTGTAGTGAGGATATAAAATTGTGAATCCTATCAAAACGACAAGGCTGAACGATGCAATGCTACAGAATACTAGCATATTGGAGTTTTAATTTTGGACCATGATATGTTAAATTGACCAATGTTATCAGTTATCGAAATTTTTAGCTCCTTAAAACTGGTCACAAAACTTTCCTATCAGTTGGACCCTATTAAGCTCATATGCTCACTAACCTTTGCAATACTTTCACTGCCTTTGAATTAGGGGCTGAAAAAGCAGGGCCGATTTTACGGCCAGCCTCACTGAGCTAGTACTTGTAGTTGTCCATCAAACTGGCATGCACTGCACGTTTCATTCGAATACAGAAATCATGCATGTCGTGTTGTTCCATGCCCTTTGACCGGCTCCATCATCCTTCATGCACACATAATCACATAGTTGAACTCCCTCAGACGTGACTCAGTAAATGGACTCAACCAGCCAACCTCCTCACCATATCAATAGCGGTATCAGCTATCACTAACACCACCTCTGCTCACTACCACTACCAATTAGGGTCTTTTCCGACATAGAGCTGCTGGGCAAATATCACCCGTTCAGTGCATAACCCGCATAAGTAAAGGGCAACCCTTCTGAATATTAATGCACCAGCATAAAGGGCTTTTGACTTAATGGAGATGTGAGTGAGCCACTGCTCCAAATCACCAGCATGCACAGATATCATTAAACTGGAGCAAACAGCCTATGGGCATGATGTGACATGGTGTTAAGGGAGCACCGAAATGGGGCAACCTGCCTGGCTGACAGTTCAAACCTGCTGTCCACAGTGATTTTTCCATTCTTTACCTGGCACGAACATCTGGAGCATCTGGATTAGCGTGCACTATGCAATGCACAGTGAAATTAAGTAGGTAGACTAAGTAGGCAGATCTCTAATACATTATATTGTTTCTTATTTCTTAAGCTGAACAATACTTTTTGCGTATTGAGCCATGATTGACCTGTACCATGACCACAATGCAACTTTAATGGTCTCTTGGGACAATAAAAGCCCTCTGCAGCCATGGGTGCCACATCATGTGCAGATCATTTTGGCAAAAAGTCCCAAAGAGCTGTTTGTGCTGTCTGATGTACAATACATTCACATTCATCTTAGCTTCACAGCTTTGTGTCCATATTTGTCTCAGATATGTTGTACTTGTAAGGCAAAGCTACGTCTGCATGTTCACACCTGAACCCACGCATTCAGATTTGACCAGATAGACAGAAAATTGGCCAAAATGCTTTGAAGTGCGCCGTTTAGTTGGAGCCTCCACGTCTATGAGGCTCCTCGGCACCAACGCCTGCTTCATGTGCACAATGCCGACCCCAAAACGCGCGAGACTTTCTCCCATCCCAACAAGGCGAAAGGGAATCCGCTGTCCAGTACTGGGGCTTTACCCCTGGTACGCACGTTAGCCAAGAAGAGCACGAGCTGGGAAACAAACGGCATCACATACTCACCAAACGAGGTCCAGAGGAATGGCGCGGTCTTTCTCTTCTCTCCTTTTCTCCCTCTCTCTCTTCTTTTTCACCTCCGCCTTCAGTCCGTGATGGAGCTCCGGAGGCTCCGTGCTTTCATGCCCTGCCGGGTGCAGGGACGGGAACGCGCGCGGTAACGGAGGAACAGCGGCGGAGCTCAGGCTGCATTGCCCAGCCAGGCTCTGTCATCCACAGGCGCGCGCGCACACACAGACATGCGCACGTCAAACAGCGGCGCTAAACAGCGACATCTGCTGGAGGCTTTGGGTATGTATCTATGTATCTATGTATCTATGTATCTATCTATCTATCTATCTATCTATCTATCTATCTGTCTGTCTGTCTGTCTGTCTATCTATCTATTTATTTATCTGTCAGTCTGACTATCTATCCATCGATCTATCTATCTATCTATCTATCTATCTATCTAGTCTATCTATTTATTTATCTGTCAGTCTATCTATCTATCTATCTATCTATCTATCTATCTATCTATCTATCTATCTATCTATCTATCTATCTACCTGTTCATCTATCTATCTATCTATCTATCTATCTATCTATCTATCTGTCTGTCTGTCTGTCTGTCTGTCTGTCTGTCTTTCTATCTATCAATCTATCTGTCTGCCTATCTGTCTGTCTATCTATCTATCTATCTATCTATCTATCTATCTATCTACCTGTTCATCTATCTATCTATGGAGATATATTGAAATATACATGCTGTATGTCCAAAAGTTTGTAGACGCCTGCTCATCCAATATGTCTTCTGAAATAAAGGGTATTAATGGGGAGTTTGTCCCCCTTTGATGTAATAACAGCCACTACTCTTCTGTGAAGGCTTTAAACTAGATGTTGGAACATTGCTGTGAGGATCTGATTACATTCAGCCACAAGAGCATTAGTGAGGTCAGGTACTAATGTTGGATGGTCAGTTCAGGAGCACTTCAACTCATCCAAGAGGTACTGGATGAGTTGAAGTCCAATTTTGGGGGCTTTATTACCCCTCAATATTGTATTCTATGGCAAATACACAAGGTACACAATTACACATGGTAACCTTACTTGAAACCGTACCTTATATACATTTTACACACACACACACACACACACACACACACACACACACACATATATATATATATATGAGGCAATCGGTTTCATGTGCTCTACGGCAGCGCGTGCTCTCTTGAGTTTTGGTGACGTCACTCTCGATAGCCCACCTCAGTGAATTGAAAAATGCGCTGCTGCTGATTGTCTTTTGTGCCACAGCTCACAATTTCAATTAAGTCATTTGTGATGTGGCGGCTGGCGCGTGTGTAGCCTGCGTGTTATTTCAGATATCTTCATGTTTGCTCCGTGTTGTAATGCTGAAATCGTTGCCCATCATTTTCTCCGCGTTCCTTCACGCTGTTGCGTTTATGGACCGGGTCTGTCTGAAAGATGGAGTGCATGGAAGAAAGAACAGCAGGTGGGCTGGGAATTTCTGCATATCATCCATTGTTCTCTGCTCTCGAAGTTCCACATGCATTACTTCATGCTCTTACCTCATACGCTCCTGGCGCGTTTTTAATGGAGACGCGCCCTCTGCTGGCCGGTATGAAGCGGTGCCGATAGAGGCCCTGAGCTGCACGGCGGATTAATGGGCTGCTGTTGGTCTGCTCAGCTGTGGAACATGGAAAACTAAGGCTGCTCTTTATATGGTACAGGGTTTGGTTATTGACTGCTTATTGACACCCGAGCTGCCCTTGGTTAGCAGCACATTTTGTGCTATTGGAGGAGTCGTAGGACTGGAGGAGGGGTCATCAAATGGATCTGACCCCTGTAGCTTAAGTACTGGAAGTGCAGGCGGGGTAATCGCACTGGGGTCACCACTGCAACAAGGCTCCCTAACATCTTTATTGGACCCCCTGCATCTCTATTTAAGCAGTTTTATGCCCATGACTCCTGGGAAGCTAAACTAACTTCATAATATACCTAATCCATTAGCCTACACACTTAAAAAAGATGGTTCTTCAAGGGTTCTTTAGTAAAGGCAACGGATCTATTTAGAACCATGAGTTCTACATAGCCCTGCGATGGACTGGTGACCTGTCCAGGGTGTATCCTGCCTTCCGCCCAATGATAGCTGGGATAGGCTCCAGCACCCCACCGCGAATGTGTTGCATATGGTTCTATATTGAACCTTCTACATACAAGGGTTCTTCTATTGTTAAAATGTCAAGCTTGTAACAACAAAAGAACCCTTTTTGGTGCTATATAGAACCCTTTCTGAAAACATTCTATATAGAACCATATACAACACGTTCTTCATCAATCTGAACAACCATTTCACCATGCAAAGCCCTTTAATCATGCAAAAGGGTCTTTGAGTGTTCCTGGTTCTGTATAGAACCATTTTCTTTTCTGAAGAACCCTTGAGAAAACATCTTTTTTAAGAGTGTAGAATTTAGCATTTTTAAGCTACACTCTTAAAATTGCTGGTTCTTCAAGGGTTCTTTAGTAAGACAAATGGTGCTATAAAGAACCATGAACACTCAAAGAGCCCTTTGCATGATTAAAGGGTTCTTTGCATTGTTACATGTTTCTTCAGATTGATGGAGAATGTGTTGCATATGGTTCTATCTAGAACCTTCAATATAGAAGGGTTTTCTTGTGACAATAGAAGAACCCTTTTTGGTGCTATATAGAACCCTTTTCAAAAAAGGTTCTACGTAGATCCATATACAACACTTTTTAGCCTTTTCACGATGCAAAGAACCCTTTAATCACGCAAATGGTTCTTTGAGTGTTCATGGTTCTGTATAGAACCATTGTCTTTACTGGAGAACCCTTGAAAAAACATTTTTTTGAGAGTAGAATGGAGCTTTTCTAAACTACTTCTTCAACAGTTCTTGATGGTTCTATATAGAGCCATGAACACTCAAAGACCCTTTTGCATGAATAAAGGGTTCCCTGCATTGTTAAATGATTCTTCAGACTGATGGAGAATGCACTGTAGATGATTCCATATTGAATCTTTTTCAAAAGGGTTCTACATAGCACCAAAAAGGGTTCCTGTATTGTTGTGATGTCAAGCCTGTAACAATAGAAGAACGCTTTTTAGTGCTATACAGAACCCTTTTCAAAAAGGTTCTATTTAGAACCGTATAAAACACATACTCCATCAATCTGAAGAACTGCTTAACAATGCAAAGAACCTTTTAATTATGCAAAAGGTCCTTTGAGTGTTCATGGTTCTATATAGAACAGTTTTCTTTACTAAAGAACACTTGAAGAACCATCATTTTTAAGTGTGTAAACTAATAAAGTTTCATAGGATGGACTGGGACCAGAGAAAACAGAACACATCTGGCCTGCAGAATACTAATCGATGGGTCTAGAGGATTTTCCACAGAGTTGGACTGAAGCCAGTGTCCCCTACCTCTTCTCATATTGGACACACTCACCTTTTGGCTTCAGTTATTTGGCTTTCTGAGAAACCCTGCTTAGTGAAAACCTGAGATGAGTTGTGATCAGGGATAAACACAAACTCCTGGTGGGCCAGTGTCAAACTTGATAAAGGCCTTTGTGTGCTTGCTTGATGTTGAAACCTCTTCTGCTTCGTTCACATCTGAGCTTGCAGTGTCTACTGGATAAGGAAGAGGAACAGATCACATTCACTCTCATCCACAACATATTTTACACCTATGATTATAACCATGTGCGTAAAGAGTACTAAGTCATACACAGTATTTGTGCTTATATCACAAGTAAGAACTCTGTCTCTTTAAATTTAGCTTGAAACGTAAATAAAAGTGCATCTCATCTGGACAAAAATGATACATTTGTTTAATGTTAAAGGCCCCATAGCCTACATTCCAAACATACATGCCAAAAACATTCATGTCATTTTTATATGACCATCTTCTGACCTCTCTCTTAGAATTAAACAGGCTGCTTTTGTTACTGTGCCTTTAAGATTGGTATATGTAAATGAGCTCTGTTCTGATTGGCTGCCTTGTATTGTCCCTCATTCGAAAGCAGTTCAGGCTGAAACGCTCTTTATACCTTCAGTGTGAATGGACAGGCTAAACTGCTGTAGGTTGAATAGGCAGATATATCGTCCCCTTGGAATTATGAGGTTCTATCTGACATTTTTGTCAAAATTGAGTCATTCACTTATATTCATATTCACTTCATATTCGGTGACAGCTTCAGCATTATGTGAGGTGTTTTCTTCAGTTATGTGCATTTTTGGACTCTAGAAAACAAAAAGGTTCTCCAACGTCAAACTCCGACTTAGTGTTTTATTTGAGTCAATCAGCAATTCGAATACACACAAGAGGACCAATCAGGTTCTGCTTCTTTGTCATGTCGCCGCTCTCAGTGACTGTGGAAAAGTTTAGAAAACATGAAAAAATGTTCTGAAACTCTGCCTGTCTTCCTGTAGTCCTTTAAAAAGTCTTACTGTCTTAAATGTTATACATATTAAGCCTCAAAAGTAATTAAATAGGGTACATTTGAATTGATGGGCTCTTTATTACAACATCAACATTAATTTCATTCATTCATCCATCTTTTCTTTTTCCTCTTTCTCCCAAAATAAGACATGTTGGTGCATCAAAGTCAAGATTTCTGCTATAAAACAAAACCTCACTCGGTCTTTAGACTGACCTGCTACACTTACTTGCTGGGACAGTTTGTTACAGTAGCTGGTTGCTGTCTGACCTAAAGGACACTTAAACTTATGGTTCCTACCTAAAACTGACCTCTGCACTGGACAAAATATTTAGTACTGAACTTTATACTTCATCTGCAATGGTTTTCTGAATAAGAAAAAGATGATTTGGCCTAAAACAAGAAATGTGTCATAAAAAATAAATACATAATACAAATAAAGGTCATAAAAGCATTAAATCAAACTTTCTGATAATGTAGACACTGTTAGAAAGCTACATTTATGCTTTAAAACAATATTACGAGTATAAACTTTGTGATCCTTGAAAATCATTGTTTCTTTTCATGTTTTGCCAGATAGAACCTTATAATTCCAAGCAGAAAGTGAGTTCTAAGGATTACAAGGTTCTATCTGCATTTGACCAGTTCCAAAAAAAAATCATTTACAAATGTGATAGGATTCTGATATTGTACATTTAGAACA